CGGGAGCCTGGCCGAGGAGCTGGGCAGCTACAGCAGGAAGAAAGGCGGCTTCAGCTTCCGTTTCGGCCGGCGGTGAGAGCCAGGCGGGCACCCTGGAAGAGGCATCTCTGGGGACTGCACCCTGGCCCGTCCACAGTGCTGCCTCATCCAGCCTCCTAGAACCCTAAGACATGGAGGAAACTGCTTGGGGGAGCATGGGTGGTGCATGCTGACTTTTGATTTCCAAATTTTGGGTCACAAAAGTGAGCCAGAGTAAGCTGCATGTGGGGTGGGAGGGCACCGCTGGCCGTCAGGCCCCTCCCACCTGCACCCTGCTCCAGCTAGGCCATGAACAGGGATGAGCAGAATGGAAGGGGTGGCGGATGGACTGAGCAATTGCATGAAGGCGACAGCCTCCACGGGGACATCGGTGGCTGCGCTGGGTACAGAACCCGGCTCTGCAAATGACAAATGAAAACCAACCCCAGAAACAACACTCCCCTCTCCGCTTCATTAACACAGGAGCCATGGAGCAGGCGAAGGGGGTCCTCCCCGGGCCTGGCCACCCCAGCCCCGCGTGCAGGGCTCCGTGACACCGATGGAGTCCCCTGACGTTGAGGGGAGACGGGAGACTGCCTGGAGAGGGAGGGGGACGGGTGTTGGGCTTTGGTTGCATTGCCAGTGTGTGCAGTACCGGTGTGTGCCGTGTTGTTTCTTTGGAAATAAAAGTTGTAACAATTGCAAAGCAGTAATGGGATTCAAGGGAGGCATGGGGTGGCTCTCTGCAGGTCCTCTGGGCCCTAGGAAGGCGGCTTTCCGGGGTTCGGCTGCCTTCGCCTCGGGGAGATGGAAATCGCCGTGCACCGGCACACCTGTCCCCGCAGCCTGGTAATTGGCAGCTGCTCAAAGGCTCGGGGAAACGCCACCGGGGCTGCGCGCCCCCCTCCGCTCGCTCGCTCCTTCGCTGGGTTTTCTCAGAACTTGGAGCAATTGGAAAACGGCTGCTACAGCAGCAGCCCTAGTGGAGGGGCGTGGGGTCTGGCTCAGGGCCTAGCGTCAGGCAGGGCGACTCTTCCTAACACACACCCACCCCGTCGGCTGTTCGAGATGGGCATAGCCATGGCTGCTCTCTGCCGGGTGGGAGAATGTGTATTGATGTTACTATGGCAACCTCACTTCCCCCTCCTCCTTTTCTGCTGCAGCTTGCCCTGCTTCACAATTGAATAATTTTCCATTGAGCTGTCACAATTAATTGGTGGATTTTTATTAGCCTTTTAGACCCACACTGAGCTGGGCCCAGCTTGGCACCATGGAGTCTTTCACCATGTTCCCCGGTCCATCAGTGGCTGGCGGTCCTGAGCAGTTCTCACTTCCCCTCAGCAGCCAGAAAGCCACTTCATTAAGGGCTGACAGATCTGAGCCGGGGAGAGCCGAGCTGACTGGGGAGCAGAGACGAGCCGGGAAAGGCGTGTGGAGTGGGGAGCGCTTGTGCCTTTCTCCCGGGGCTCCCGTGGGCTGGGCTCCCTGTGACAGGGAGAGGGGCGGTGACACAAGGCACCCAGGCTCAGGCTGCCCACTTGCACGACTGAGGTGACCCATCTGGGGGCCTCCTTTTGTAAGGATGTTGGACACAGGACCCACCTGTGCTCACAACACTGGTAACAGTGGGACAGAACCTTGGATGAGCCATCCCCTTCATTCCCCATAAAGCCACAGCAGGTGTAGACCAAAGGCCAAGGGCACAGGGAGGCCCTGGAAGCCCAGGCTCTGGCCCACTTGCTACCTCCTGTGCCCCTTGAGAAAGAAAGCAGATACCCAAGCTGAGCTGCTTACATTAACTTCATAGTGCCTGCGCAGATTGTTGGGAAAAAAAAAAAAAAGTTTCTTTTTGTTTACTTGAAAGGCAAACATATACACACACACAGTCTCCCACCTGCTGGTTTTCTCCTCAAGTGCCTGTAACAACTAGGGCTCACTGAGCAAGCTGAAGCCAGTAGCCTGGGACCTCTTCAGCTCTCCCCATGGGTGGCAGGGGCCCAAGCACCAGAGCCATTACTGCCCCCTTCCAGCCTGTTAGAAGGGAGCCAGATTAGTAGCAGTGCAGCCACGTCTCCAATCGGCACTCCGCTATGGGGTGAGGGCGATCCAAGTGGTGGCCCAGCTCACTGTGCCCCTAGGTCAGCTCCCCGGACAGGCTGGCTTTTAGTGGAGAAGGAATGATGGTGAGGTCAGGGCTTAGGATGAGGGTGCGGAGGCTTTGCAGGAGCGGGAACGCTGTGGTTGTTGCGGTCAGCCTTAGCACAGAATCAAAAGTGCTCTTTTCCACTTGGCTTACGTTGCTGCCCATGACCTTGCACGCCAGGACGGCCTGAGTGCCCCTCACAGCCCTGCTCTCCTCCTTGCCCAGACTGCTGGAGGTCAGGCTGCAGAAAGCGCCGGGCTGGCGAGCAGAGCCCGCTCCCTGTCCCTCTCCCTTCCCCTTCCACAGCAGGCGGGGCACACTGCACCAGACCTGGGCCTGGACAGCCCCTCCAGCCCTGAGTGCCCGCCTGCTGCTCCTGCCCTTGTCCCCATCTTAGTGTGCAGACCGGAAGGCTTCGGTAATTAGCATGGATGGGAACTACCAACTGTACCTTCCTGTATGGTTGGAGTAAGAATAAAACAAGAAACCCCATGAGGTAGTCAGTGCTGTGGCTGGAAGCAGCCTCCTGCTCCCAGTGCCCAGGTCTGTGGGGCACATTTTGCCGGAGACCCTCTGCTAGCTGCCTGCCTGGAGCAGGGGGGCCAGCTGTGAGGTCAGAGGGACACGGGGAGACAGAGGGGCCTCCGTGGTCAGTTGTGTCCCACTGACATCTTCCACATCAAGACACAGCTTAGAGGTCCACTCTTGGGGCGTCTGAGAACCTGCAGGAACCTGTGGGGTTACAGCCTCTGCTCTTCCGTTGAACAGCATGCTGGCTGGTCCTGGGCACGGCTCTGGCCTCCTTACCTCTCACAGCACAGCGCTAGAGGCTGAGATGCGAGGACTCCCCACGGGGGACGCTCTTAGTTCTGTAGGCTGGCCATGTGCCCACGTCTGCCGCTGTGTAACACAAGTCTGGGATGACCCATTCCAAGGGGCAGTTTGATGAGGCTTCAGCAGGTAACACACCTGCCAGCGGTGCCCAGCCTGAGTGCCAGTCCCCCTGCTGGGCGTGGTCCTTGACATGTTGCAGCATGCTCGGTCCCACCGGTGGGTTTGGACACCCGAGGAGACCTGGGCAGCGCTATCACGCCTCCACCTAGGGCTTTGCTGGGGCCAGATTTCAGATTCATTCCCACCATGCGGTGTGGCCACTCTTCCTGCTCGTTCACAGCCCACTGCACCAGCACACCACCCTGTGTCAGTGGACACGGGGATTGTAAAAACTTGTTTTAATTTGGAAGGTAGAATGACAGGAAGGCAGATCTCCCATCCGCGGGTTCACTCCCCAAATGGTTGTGGTGGTTGGCACCAGGCCAGGAGAAAGCCAGGAGCCTGCACTCCATCCTGATTTTTTTTTTTTTTTTGAAAGGCAGAAATAAAGAGAGGAGGAGAGACAGAGCAAGATCTTCCATCCAGTGATTCACTCCAAGTGGCTGTAACTGCCGGTGCTGTGCTGATCTGAAGTCAGGAGCCAGGAGCCAGGAACCTCTCCCAGGTCTCCCACACAGGTGCAGGGTCCCAAGGCTTTGGGCCGTCCTCAACTGCTTTCCCAGGCCACAAGCAGGGAGCTGGATGGGAAGTAGAGCTGCTAGGATTAGAACTGGCACCCATATGGGATCCCGGTGCATTCAAGGCGAGGACTTTAGCCGCTAGGCCACCGCACAGGGCCCCATCCTGATTTCTGACAGGTGGCAGAGGCCCGGGGTCTGCTGGCTAGACCATCAGTGGGTACTCAGATACGGGAGCCTAGCATGGCCACCTGACCTGTGCCTTAGCCTGCTGCTCTCAACCTAGAAACTTTACCTAGGTCTCTTAAGTGGGTGCAGGGTCCCAAATACTTTGGCTATCCTTCACTGGTTTCCGAGATCATCAGCAGAGAAACTAGATGGGAAATGGGATACAAACTGGAGCCCATACGGAATCCTAGTGCTTGCAGGTGGAGAATTAGCCAGTTGAGTCACCATGCTAGCCCCTGTGGTGGCATAACAACCACACACATGCCTTTTCCTTGAGCTGGCACCAGCTGCTTTTATGACCCTCTCACGAGGCTAACAGGACGTGGTCTTGCCACGCCCCGGGCACAGAGTCCCTACATTCGTGGGACACGCCAGCAGTTCCTTACCAGGGAATTGTCTGTGGAGTGTCTGGTGTCACCCATGTGCACAGATGCCAGAAAAGGCACCCCAGCCCAGTGTCGGGCACAGGGTGGCAACCGCCCTGAGCAAGGATGGCTTAGCTTTTCCTGACATAGGAGTGACCACCTGGGGGAGGCCCCATCAGCCCACAGATGGCTCTGTTGCTGAGGAACCACAGGCCTGGCCTTGGCTTTGTCCCTGTGAAATGAGACTTGGTGCCTGACGTGGCCACAGCCCACAACCCCACACTATGCAGACATCACGGTTCTGTTGCAGTAGTCATGTCCATCCTGGCACCTGCCACCAGTGCCTCCTGCATGCTGAGGCTGCACCCACTCTGCACTCCTCACATGTCTCGTCGGGGTCATTGTCACAGGCAAACGCTGGCTGCCCTCGCTCAAGTAGGCAGTCCTGAGGTTCTACGATGCGGCCCCCATGGCCTCTGGCTCACAACAGCAGAGGGCCCTGGGAGCTGAGGGCACGTGCAGGGGTGGAGAGGGAAGGTACACTCGGAGTCGGGGAGGCAGGGAATTTGGGACACAAGGTTGACACGAGTTGGGTAGCAAGGAGGCACCCGTAGGATGACGTGGGTGGCGGATGGCAGGTGGCAGGCAGCAGAGGACCAGTGGCTGCTCCACCCTCAGCGGTGTGTACTGGCACGGCGCTCTCTTAGATACAAGCAAGTGGCCGGGAGCCTCATGTTGTCAACATTTATTTATTTATTTAAAAAATACTACAGAGCAGATTTGGAATCAAAAAAAACACAAGAGTCACATACAGGAACAAAATGTAATTGGACCAAGAGGAGAAGGGGGTGGGAACACCCTGGACATTGCAGAAGGAAGGATGGTGGGAAACTATGTACACGTTGTTTATAAAAGAGTGTAATACCAAAAGTATAAATGCAAAGTATAGTGGCACATGTTAACAGGACGACGCCAGCTCGCGGGACACGCTGCTCTGGGTCTGCAAGGCCGCTGTCGGTGTCGGGCGCCTCCCTGGGGCAAGGGGGTGCTGGCAGCAGGCCTGCTGGCTGCCCACTGCCCTCCCCCCGCGAGCAGGTGCAGGTGCAGCTGGTCACTGTGCAAACAGGGGCTGTGCGAGGCTGCATGGCCCTCTCAGGGGCCTGTCCAACGCCACAGTCTACAGACCTCAGCTCTGGGCAGGAGACACCAAGACCTGCTCTTTGATGTACTCCCTGAAGTCTGGTCTGTCCCTTACTCCTCCCTGGTGACCCCAAGTGTCACCCACGGTCATTAACTAAGAGGCATCTGCCTGGTGTGTGTGCTGGCACCCAGGGGCGGCCCCCTCTGAACAGAAGCCGATGACCGTCCTGTCACCAGGGAGGATCTGCTTTGTCTTAGATGAGGGGGAAGGAGACTGGTTGGGGATCCAATTCTCCCGCGGCCCCTGAGGCGTGCCCAGGCGCAGGCCAGGCAGCCTTGCCTCAGCCGGCCACCATCTCGGACAGTGACCCCACGAGCCTTCAGACTGGAGCTTTCTACTCAGACTTCACAGTGCATGTCCCAGGATGTCAGAGCTGGTGGGCTCTGGGGAGGCAGGGCAGACAGACGGAGCCCTGACCTTCCTCCTCCAGCTCCCCGCTGTCTGGGACCCGAAGACTGGGGGGCCGTGTACCCCCAGTCCCTGGCTGTCCTTCACGTGTGGGACCCTTCCTGGGGGAGGGGGATCTTAGACTGCAGCTTTGGCACGGGAGGTGTGAGGCTGGTGACCTTGGTGGTGGTGATGCAGAGGTGTGCTGGTGACGGCAGAAGGCACACGGAGGAGCGCTCCAGTGGGCCCATGCGCCCGGTGGACCCGGGGTGCCACCTGCAGTCCACAGAGCAGACTCCGCAGCACAGCTGGGGCTGTGCCCCGCTGGCCACTAGTTGTCACGGGCACGGTGCAGGCCTGGCTTCTGCTACCTCTGCACGATGTCACTGATCTCCTTCACGGAGCCCAGGAGCTTGCTGAAGTCCGGGCTGGCCGCCGGGCCGCCCGCCGCCGTGGCCGGGCAGATCTGCAGCTCCCGCAGGTTGTGCTCCAGCTTGTTGATGGCCTCCCGGAAGGCAAACTTGTTCCTCATCTGCTGGATGGAATCCACGTAGCTCACGCAGAAGGTGTAGAGGTTCTTGCCGGCCTCAAGCACGGCACTGTGGCTGCCCACTTGCTCAGAGTTCCTGGAGATGGCCAGGCACAGGGCCTCGGTGCCGTCCAGGACCACGCCCTTGGTGATGGCGCCACTGGCAAGGCGCTCCGGGGGCTGGCGGGTTTTCCTCAGAGACACGCGGGTCGAGATGAGGGGGATGAAGGCGGTGGAAGACGCCTGGTCCCCAGCCAGGGTGGAGGAAGCTGATGGCAGCGAGGCGGGGCCGGGGGCCGGGCTGGTGGGGGTCCCCGTGGCCTTGGTGGCCGCCTGCGGCTTCGGTGCCGATGGGGGCAGGGGCTTTTTCACACTGTCTCCTGGCTGGCTGGGCTTGGCAGCCTCGCCGCCGGCCAGATCCACCGCCTGGCTGGTGGATTTTGTTTTACCGCCAGCAGCCGTCTCCCCAGCGGCCTCCTGGCTCGGGCTCAGTGAGGGTTTCCCTGCTTTGCCCACGGAGGCTGGCGGCGGCGGAGGGGCCGGTTTGAGCTTGGACAACTTCCCCTTGTCTCTGCCTGGCGACTCGGAGGAGTGCTTGTTCCTTCGCACTCGGGACTCCTCCACGGGGCCCTTACTGGGGCCTGCTCTGCTGGTGGGGGGCACTGGCTCTGCAGCGCCAGGGGCCCCCGAGGTGCCACCCTTCCCGGCCTCTTCCTTGTGCGGGGTGCCAGAGGCAGGGCTCGCTGGGACCTGCCGCCGCTGGAGCTTCGGGGTCAAGCCGGGAGGGCTGGAGCCCGGGCTGGCCTCGGCGGGGTCTCTGAAGACCTCATCCCCATCTTCCTCGCTCTTCTTCCCCAGCCTGGGTGGAGGGGTTACCGTGCCCCTGGGCGCCTGCTCAGACTTGTTTTCGCTGGCCCGCTTCCGGGGCAAAGCAGGCTTCTCGGTTTTGTGCCCTCCGAAGGTGGACGAATCAAACTGCCTGCCCGTGGACTGCAGGTCGCGGGGCAGCGTGACTGACCTCCACTCGGTGTCCTTGGCCCCGTGCGGCACGCAGGAGGCCGAGCAGGAGCGCAGGAAGCGCTTGCTGGAGCTGCCGCTGCTCTCCTCCTCGCCAGCTGCTAGGCGGTTGCTGCTCATGGTGCTGGACTTCTTCCACAGGTGCGGGGAGCGGAAGCCCGAGCCCCCCGACTCCCGGCAGGCCCCGTTGGGGACTCCACTGCCTCCGTTGCTGGGCTTGGGGCACTTGGTCGGCTCGGCCGTGTCCGTGGCAGGAGGGGGAGCCGCCCCGTTGCTCATCTCCCGGCCCTCGTCCTCGCCGGGCCCCCTGCGCTCGGGAGGGCCGTCCATCTCCCGGAAGGAGCTGCTGCGCTTGGGGGGGGCCGGCGCGGTCTTCTTCTTCTTCTTGATCAAGGCGCTGAACAGGTTGGTTTTCTTGTCTTTGGGGAGGAGGCGCTCATCTTCATTCAGGCCGCCGTCTGGGGGACCCCGCTCTTTTCGTGGGAGCAGCGGAGACACGGCAGGCTCATGGTCCAGGGCATCTGAAAAGCACAGGGAAGCAGTGAGCGACTCCAGGCCTGGGCTGCTTTGCATTCTGCAGGGGCACGACTCAGGATCTAGGCAATGAAATCTGGCAGGCCAGGGGCCCGGGACCAGCTCTGCCACCTGCTTCGCAAGAGGCCTAGGGAAGTTCCTGGGTTAATGCGGGGATAACAGAAGCTTGAGCCAGTGAGGGGCTGGGGAGTGCACATCGTGGGCCCCTGGCCCAGCTTGTCTCGGGGGGTTGTGGGCTCCATCTTGTTAGCAAGAGCCTGACTCCCTGTGGAGATGCACAGACAGAAGCTGGGCCCCTGTCCTGGTTTGGTTTAGGACCACGGGGCCCTCCAGCGTCACTCTGGCAAGTGGTGGACTACATGGCCACGTGGCGTGTTGGAGCGGGTGGCTCTTAGAGCAGATGGTCAGCTGGGGTGCTGTCAAGGAGTAACCCAGAGGGAAGAGTACCTGCTTGGGGGCAGCCACTGTGGCTCTCAGGTTGGGTTCTGAACTATGGCAGCAGTGGCTATGAGATGTTGCTGGTGTTGCCAAGCTGTGGTTCATGGGAGAATCCCTCGCCCACCCTGCGCGGTTGCCGCAGGTCAGAGCAGGTGTGGGGCTGGAGCAGGACGCCAGGCAGCGCAGCACTGAGTCAGGGCCGAGGATCCCAGCTCATGGTGGCTCGCCACGCTCCTGGCCTGCAGTGCCAATGTGTGCCAGTGCACAGTGGACGGGACCATTTGTAGTTGGGTTTTCAACAGGCACATGTTCCCACCCCACTGCTCAACAACTTGAAACCACCTCTAGGACACAGGGCTAAAAGGCAAAGGTTTTAGGACGGCCACAGGCTTTGGCCCACGGGGGGTTGAAAGGTGATCCAGGCAGGTGCGGGAAGTCCATCCCCCAGCTGGGCTGCAGTGGTCCTGGGCCTGCTGGCTTGCGGGGCAGCCCACCGCTCCGAGTAGAGCCTGCACCCTGACGTCCTGGGTGGACAACACCTGCTTTTACTGGCCTGGGCCCTGGTGGCCCCAGGAGCATCCTGCCAGAACCTTCACAAACCTGCTCCAGGCCTGGGCCACAGCTCATGGCGGTGCTAAGCATCCCGGAAGAGCCGTCACACGTGCTGTGACACAGGACAATGTGGCTTCACTCCTCATGAGGCTTCGGAAGCACCTCCATCTGCCCTGACCCCGCCACCTGCTGAAGCCAACAGTTTCTCAGCCGCTCCTCAGGGGAGGGAACGAGGTGCTGGGGTTGGGAGCAGACTCCCTTTTCTGAAGCTGGTCACTGGCCAGGAAGGTTTTTGGTCAATTCAGAGCCTTCCTGAAGGGTACAGCCTCTTTCAGGGGAGGAGGGAAGCAGGGGGGGAATGGGGAACATACCGCTCTCGTTTGGACCCTTGGAGTGGGGTGCATCTGAGGTGTCGGTAGCGTCTCGGGGCTCAGCAGCTCTCCTGGATGTTCGGGTCTTGGTGGGCAGCTCTGGGGCCTGAAGCAGGGTGCTCATGGCCCCCCGGGCGCCACGTCGGCCTAACTCCTTTTCCACTTCTAAGATCACGCACACAAAACACAGAAATCCAGCAGCATGAGTCACCAGTGGGTTGGTAAGAGGAGTGTTTGCCCACACACAGCTACAGGAAGTCACAGTGCTGAGGAAATGGCCCCTGGCAGTTTCCAGAACTTTGTAGGCTGTAAAAGACAGCCTGGCCTTCCATGGTTCTGCCTGGCTGGCTAGTCTTGGGCTGTGCACTGCCCTGGGCTGGAGCCCCTCACGGCACCCCCGCCCCACACCGCAGGGATGGCTGTTTTACCGTCTGAGATACTGGATTCCTGGAACATCGTTTCGAAAGCCTGGTGGATTTCGGCAAATGAGGGCCGGTCCGAGGGGTTCCACTGCCAACCTGGAGGGAAGAGATCAAGTCAGACCGCTCACAAGGCCTCGCCAGCAAGCACGGGCACTGGCAATCCTCGACGACAGTCTGAAGAGAAAAGCAGCCAGCAGATCTGTGAGCAAGTCGTGCTGTGACAAGCTAAGAGGATGAACATCACGTGTCTTGGTAGACGTGCGGTGCCCGCAGGAGTGCGGATGCGAAGCTCCAGGGAGACGCCGCCTGGCAGGGCTGCCTGCACAGCCATGCTCTGCGCCGTGTGGGCAATTACCGAGCTTACTCGTATTCTCACTTCACATCAAAAGTCCCCACTCCTCATCAGTAAAGAAATGCTAATCCAAACCAGATTAAGACAGGCAGGAATTGGGCTCCGTGGTTAAGACCTGACGCGGGTGCCCACATCCAAGTGCCTGGGCTTGGTTTTTTGCTGTGCTCTGGCTTCCTGCCAGTTGCACCCTGGGAGGCACAGGTTCCAGTGCTTAGGCCACCGCTCCTCATGTATTCAGTCCAGCACACACTGCAGAATCGGGGCTTGATGCTGGCCAGCCCCAGCTGTGTGGCCATCCAGAGAGAGAGCCAGCGGACGCAGCATCCCTGCCTGCCTGCCTGCCTGCTCAGTAGGGGTGAGGCTGAATGATCACTCCTACACACTGGATGGAAGTGCAAGCTGCAAGCTGGTGCAGCCTGGCCTGCAAGAGAGCTTAGTCCATTTAAAAAAAGATTTATCGCTTATTTCAAAGGTATAGTTAGAGAGAGAGGAAGAGAGACACGGAGAATCTGCCATCTGCTGGCCCACTACCCAAACGGACATGACAGCTCGGTTGATACAAACCCAGGAGCTTCTTTGGGGTCTCCCGTGTGGATGGGAAGTGGAGCAGCCAGGACTTGAACTGGTATCCACAGGGGAATGACAATGCCAAAAGTGGTGGCTTTTACTTGCTATGCCACAGTGCCAGGCCCCGATTTAGCAGAGGTCATCAACAGTTAAAATTCCAACCTGGTGTTGCGGCACAGAGGTAAAGCCGCCACCTCCAATGGCAGCATCTATACGGGTGCTGAATCTAGTCCTGGCCGCTCCACCTCCGATCCTGGGAAGCAGGAGAGGACAGCCCAAGTGCTGAACCCCTGCCCCATGTGGAAGGCCCAGAAGAGGGTCCTGGCCTTGGCCTGCTGTGGCCATTTGGGGAGTGAACCAGCAGATACAAGACTTCTCTTTCTGCTGACCCCCCCTTGCCCAGTCCTGTAATCTACCTTCTAAATAAGAACAAACTTCATCAATCAAAAAACATTAAAACACCTATAGATTTTTAAACCAATGTTCACCAGTGTAAGTAGACAGGGAAAGCTGTAGGAAGGTGGTCACTTTCTGTGTTTCTTATAAAGACAAAACCCAAGCAAACGCACAAAACAAGCAATGGCTAGTTCAAGAAACGGATGGATGAATGCCATTCTTTAACAGAAGGTGAGATAGCCAGATAAGAATAAGAGGGGGCAGAAAGGACCTAAGAATGCCACCCTCCCCACCCCAATCTTTAAAACAAACACCCTCACGTGTATGCAATGCATATATAAGTGCAGAGTATTAAGGAAAGTCTGAGAAAACATAAACCCAGCTGTGCCCTGAGCTGCCTGGAGGAACAGGAGGCAAGCGAGCAGCCAGAGCTCGGGCTGGGCCTCCGGCCGCCACCCCGTGCAACCGCGTGGCTCCCCGCTCACATGCGCGCATGAGTCCGTAGACCTTCTCCGGGCAGCCTTCCGGGCGCTCCATGCGGTAGTCCTTCTCCAGCAGCTCGTAGACCTGGGACAGGTCGATCCCAGGGTAAGGCGACATGCCGTAGGTGGCAATCTCCCAGAGCAGTACACCGAACGCTGAAAGGAGAAAGAGGTGGTGGCTGCTCAGCTGCTGACGTGGAGCTTAGACTGTGCAACGGACATGCCAGGTGCAACCAGGGAGGAGGCCCGCTGTTCCCTCACTCTGCACTGCCAGCATCCTCAGGATGAGGGTGTCAGACACAGAGAGCAAACACCGCACTGAGTTAGCACCTCCTCTTGGGTCTCTCAGGCCACGGGATACCCTGCTGGGACTGTGGTGGCAGCAAGCAAGGACAGGAAGTCAGGGGTCCACAGTGTGCGCAGTCTCCTGAACAGCCAACTTCCTGCCCAACATAAGCTGCCACCTGTCTCTTGACACGCAGCATCATCTCTGATTCTAGAGTTTATGAAATCTGTGAAAAGTTCTCCAACCCCAAATCACGGGCTCTGTCATTCCACTTCTGCTGAACGGGACCAACACCCTGTGGGCAGATGGCTTGGACTGGGGACAGAGAACAGACCTGACACATCTTGTCACCCCAGTCAGCAGGAAGATGCCAAGGGCAACACCAAAAGGCTTGAGGTTAGCCTGATGTTCCAACTGGGGCAGGTGCTGTGGCACAGTGGCTCAAGCATCCACTGGGATTCGTTCATCCTGCTCAGAGTGCCTGGTTCTAGTCCCAGCTGTTCCATGCTTCGGATCCAGCTGTGGCTAATGGGCTAGGATACAGCAGCTGGTGCCCAGTCCCTGGGGCCTCGTCATCCACTGACACTCGGAAGAAGTTTCTGGCTCCTGGTTTTGGCTTGACTTAGTTCCAGTTGTTATGGGCATTTGGGGAGTGAAGCAGCAGAGTTAAGACTGTGCTCACTTGTTCTGTCATTCTGCCTTTCAAATAAATAACTAATAAACAAATCTTTAAAAAAATGTTGAGCTGGGTAGCACAGTGACCGCAAACACCAGCACCCCATATGGGCACTGGTTTGTGTCCAAGAGGCCCCACTGTCCACCCAGCTCCCTGCTTGTGGCCTGGGAAAGCAACAGAGGAAAGCCCAAAGCTTGGGACCCTGCACCTGCGTGGGAGACACAGAAGAAGCTCCTGGCTCGTGGCTTCAGATCGGCATAGCTCAGGTCATTACAGCCACTTGGGGAGTGAACCAGTGGGTGAAAGATCTCTCTCTCCTTCCTTCTCACTATACATTCGCCTTTCACAATCCAAATACCAAGAGTAAAATAACCACAAGTGATGGATACACATCCAACATGCTTAAACCCAAGTTCACAATGGTGTTACCAATGACAAACACAACTGCACTGGTCACCAGGGAAGGGCATTCCTAGCCCAGCTTATCTCAAACACTGAAGGCAGAGGAGCAGGTACTCACCCTGCCTTTCCTGTCACACGCATGGTACCACAAGGACGCAAGCGGGCAAGGGCCAGCTTCCTGTTTACAGAGCAACCGGCTAGGCAGTGAATACTGGATGACGGACCGACCAAAGCAGCCCTGTGACAACTCCTTCTGTGCACCCTACCTACTCACTGACCCTCTTTTTCTTTCTTTTTTTTTTTTTAGTAAATCTCAGACCCATGTTACTCTGCCTAACTAAATCATGCAGTTCAGCCTGATGTTGACAGTGTGAACTGAGATGCAGCCCACACGGCGTCCTGGCTGGCCCGTCCCTCACTCCTCTGCCCCAGCTGCTCCTGCTCCAGGTCATTCTTTCCCTTGCTTTCTGTTTAATGAAAAGGCTCTGGCCTTGGACTTGGGGGTTTCCCACGTGGCAGATCCTGCCATGGGTGGCCTTGCTGCTCCAACAGCCTTCTCCTACCTGGGCTTGATGTGGGATTCTCTAAGTTCACCTTCCCACACGGGGGCTCAGCCGATAGTCCCCATTTCTTTAAAAAAAAGTTTGCAATTTGTAATTATAGAAAGTTCTCCCACAGACAAGGTAGGGTAGCACCCCACTGACAGCCCAGACCAGCAGGCTTCCTCGCCTAGTCGTAGTCCTAGGACCTGCAGGGTCAGCCAGCTGCCCAAGCCAATGCAAGCAGCCAACTTACAATGAACTCAATGTAAAGAGAGTAAGTTAAAAAAACAAGTTCTGGCCCCAAGCTGAGCTCATTACGGCCGCTTACGATGCTGTGCCCTGGATGTGGGGAGCTGCTGGGGTCCGTGTGGTGAGTGTGGAAGACAGGAAGGTGTGAAAAGTATTGTTCCATTGCAGGCAGGGCCCCACCTCCCTTTGCATGGACACCTGACAAGCCTGCTGAGAATTCTGTAATCTATTCAGGCATTGTCTGCCTCTGTGGCGTTAATATTTACTATCAATGTGAGCTTGGAAGTTGATGTTGCTTGGACCTTTTATCATTGTGGTCTCGGCTGCCGCCATTGACCATATGCTAATCAAGGGTGTTCCGTCCCCAGGTGTAGTGGGAATCTACTCTTTCCCTTTTTCTTTGATCTTTAGGTCCTTCCTTCTGTGATGCACTTCCTCCCTTAACTGATTCAAGATTAAGTTGTAGAATGAGGACTGTAGTAGGAATGTGTTACTGATATGCACCATCTATTGAGAACTTCCTGACCACAGGGTCCGGATGGAAGCGGCAGAATTATCCTTAGAAACACCCACTTGACCATGACGTAAAAAGTCTGAGCCAGAGTTTGACTGTTTCTGTATAAATAAAGCGGACAGCTTTACTGCACTGTCCATTATGATCATGAAATCATAGTGGTCCGTTTAGTTCCTTTACGCCTCACCCACACACCAGTGTCGAGTTCTGACCTCGGCTGGAGCTGGAACCTGGCAGGCACCACTCTGCCAGCAGGGAACCCTCCCCGAGATGGCTCCTCCGAGAGGTGGTCCTCTCCGCAGTGCAGGCACAAGGTTCCGGTTGGTCTCCAAGCATCCGGTAAGCTCTCAGATCTGTTTGGCTGGCTTTTTTGCCACAGGTTTGTCCCTGTTGCGAGTCGAGTGTCCAAATGGGGGGGGGGGGGTTGCTGCCTTTCTCCTGTTCTAGTGACACTTGTCTCAGGGTGATCACGGCGGACTGGGCGGGACTGGGATGCAGTGACTTGTCAAGGGGAGGTGGCCAGTGGAGGGACAGGGCACATCTGGAAGCCAGCTTTCAGGGAGCTCTGCCTGTGCACCGTGCTGCTGACGCTAGCCCAGACACTGCGGCATCCCTGCTTTATGCATGAATCATTTTTGGGCTTTATGGGGAAGAGGGCGGGAGTCTCAACGTGGCGGTGGGCAGAAAAAAATGCCCTGTGCACCCCGAGCTCTGCTGAGTGGGGTACAGACCCGGGCAGGAGAACCTCGCCACTGACTTGCCCATCTCTGGGAGGACATTCACATTTTGGCTTTGTGCATTTGCGAAAGCTGGAGACAGACACTAGCACGACATGCCCACCCATCCTTGCGGTGTCTCCAACTCAGCCCTGCTCCTTTTTAAGAAAAGTTGTGTTCTAAAAAAATAAGAACCATCATAATAAAATGGAAAATTGTGGTCTCTAAAAAAAAAAAAATGGGTCCTGGATAACAGTAAGAAAAAGCTCCCTTTTATCAAAACTATTACAGAAAGAGAACAATGTAGAAGGATTTTCAAATGAGAAAGAAGTGAAATAAAAATAATTAAGTAGTGAAGAATGAGAAGTGGAAGGGGCAGAAAGACGTGGTGAGAAAGAGATAAGAACAACGCTCTCTCTGGTGGGGATCGCTCTGTGCAGCGGCCCTTACCCCAGACGTCGGACTTGATGGAGAACTTATTATAGGCCAGGCTCTCTGGCGCGGTCCACTTGATGGGGAACTTGGCCCCAGCGTGGGCTGTGTAGGTGTCTCCCGTCATCAGCCGACTCAGGCCGAAGTCGGCCACCTTCACCAGGTGGTTCTCCCCAACCAGGCAGTTGCGGGCAGCCAGATCCCTGCGGAAAGGAAGGTCGCCTGTCAGAGTTCCTGCAAAGCTCCCAGATTCACAAACCCACTGCTGGCACTACACGGGAAGGTGTCAAACCAATGGAGGAAGCAGGCAGCCCAGGGAGGCCCTGGGAGCGGGTTTCCTGGCTCCCAGACTTGGAGCAAATAATGACCTCAGGCCTCAGCCACCTCATCCGAAAAATGAAGATAAAAGCACTCACATCTTGGTGGCTGTGACTGTAACAATTAATGTGTCACCTCAGGTGCTTCCAAGGAGGCCTGGGATCAGAGTTGTTATATATGGGTGCAGTCACTGCTATTCCAGCCCGGGACCAGCCCTTCGCCCCCTCCTCCGTCACAAGAGGCTTGCAGCAAAGCAGCCTCCAGTAGCCCTATAGCAGTAGCAGAACCAAACAACGCCCTGCGCCACCTCCGCCCAAACCGTGCTTCCCACCGTCCTTGTCCTCCTTAATGCCTCCCCAAATGCAGACCCTCCAGGCCTCCGTGCCCCCGGGAGCCTTGGCTTGTGGATGTTAACCACACACTCACAAGGCTGAGCCCAGTACAGGCATGGGAAGAGGCAAGCCTTGTGCAGCAAAGGCTGTGAGACAGCCTGCTCGTCAGCAAGGAAAAATTAAACACACAAGGCTTGAGCCTAATAGGATTTTGGCAAAGCACTTTAAGCTTGCCTGAATGAAGACGGAGCCAGCCCAGCCGTGCAAGGCAAACCGGGAGTCAGGAAATCTCAATTTGCAGCCTCTAAGGGGTCGCCTCCCTGAGTGACAGGAGCATGGCAGATCTGCTGCACCCGGACCGCCAGCCTCGTGTGTGTGCCACCCTCGTTCCAAGCTCTGCAGGCTCGTGCGGAGGTTTCATACTCGAGTTAATTGGGTGGGAAAGGTCACAACGGTGGCGTGGAGAACATCTTGTATAAAGACATGGGCGAGGCCCGTCAGGCCGTCACTGTGCTGGGAGGCCATTTCCACCCGCCAAGAATGCAGAGACCAGGCTAATTGTGGCCCCTTGAAGGTCAGAGCACTCTAGGTGCGGGGCGACAGTGGCGTTTCATTCTGGCCCCACATCGAAGCCCTGACAATCATGGAAGTGCTTGTGTGCCGGATGCCAGCAGCTGGGTGGGAGTGAGATGAAAATGGAATATACACACACAGCCGGCAAAGCCCATGCACTGTGTCATCCTGAGCTGGGCAAGGCGGTGCCAGGCTTCCAGGAAGGCTGGCCCCGCAGGCAGGAGGCACTGGGCTTGGAGCAGCCGCAATGGCAAGGAAGGCTACTTTGCACAAACTTCCTGCTTATTCTGCTTGGCTCAGGATGACTCGGAAGTGAAACTCACCTCCCCCTGGCGACTCCTCGCTCTGCCTGCCCAAAGGCCTGGCTGATGTCAATCCTGGACACATGCCCAAAGCTAGCCACGCCAGGAATCTGGTGCCTGTCTTAGTTCTGGCTCTAGGCCCCTCCCCACCTGTGGATGAAGTTCTTCTTCTCCAGGTACTCCATGGCGGAGGAGATCTGCGTGGCCATGTACAGCAGCACCACGGCATTCACCTCCTGCCGGTTGCACTCCCGCAGGTAGTCCAGCAGGTTCCCGTAGGTCATGAACTCGGTGATGATGTAGAAAGGAGGCTCCCGTGTGCAGACCCCTGCCCACAACACAGCGAGGTTTCAGCATGCACGTCTGTGGCCGGCGGAGCAAACCCTGAAAGTGGCTGGCACTAAAGAGATCCAGACTAGACTTGCCCCCGTGGTCCTGGGGCCTAAGCCCTCGGGCCAGCCCCCACTGCTTCCCTGAGTGCATTATCAGGAAGCTGGACTGGGAGTGCAGGAAGTTGGGTCTGGAACTGGTGCTCAAATGGGAGGCCAATGGTGCGGGTGGCGCTTAACCTACTGTGTCACAGCATCAGCCCTTGGACCCAACTCGGCATGTCACTCCTACTGTGGGAGAGGCCAGGCCAGACTCCTGGCTTCCTCTCATGCTAAGGGATGAGAGCCACACAGGCGGAGGCTGCCGCCGAGTTCCGAAGCAAAGACCAGGCCCCGTGTGAGAAGGGCCAACCCACTGTTCATGTCCTCCACACGACTGGGTCTGGTGAGGAGGCCTATTACCAGAACCACTGACGTGGGAGTGTTCTGCAAACTCGGAAGCCAGCTTGGGAGCAGCGCCTACTTGGCGACACTCTTTCACCCACACCCCCAGTGCCCCGGGAGCTGAAGGCTGGCAGAAGGCGGCCGTTCAGCTCTGTGCAGCAGCTGTGGCCCCTGGGGCCTGGGGCCAGCCCCTGGGGCCTGGGGCCAGCCCCCCTCCCCTGCCCTCCCCTCCCCTGCCCTCCCCCTCCCCTCCCCTGCCCTCCCCCCACCCCTCCCCTGCCCTCCCCCTGCCCTCCCCTGCCCTCCCCCTCCCCTCCCCTGCCCTCCCCCCTCACCGAGCAGCTGCACCAGGTTAGGGTGTTTGATCTCTTTCATCACTGCAGCTTCTTTCAAGAACTCCTCCACCTCCATGGTGTCCTCCTGCACAGGAACAAGTGGTGAAATGACCTCCATGAGGGGAGTGGACAAGTACCACGAGAGGGCACATGCACTGAGCCTGGAGGCACCCACGCCCAGGGCCATCTGCTCCCACGTCGTTCTGGATGGCTCTGTGACAACTTGGTTTCAGCCTTACGGCAGCATTTCCTTTGACGGTGAACCTGGGAATACCGAGCCAGGGCCAGAGGTCCCACAGCTGGCTCACAGAGGCTGACCCTCTGCTTTGAGGGGCGAGCTATGCAACTCCTTGATCAAGCGTTCCAGGCAAGTGCAGATATTCAAAGCAGCATATTACCAGTCCTGCACAGCAAAACCACCTCAGAAATATCTCCTTTTCTAGTTACTGAGCCTCCTTTCAAAGACCCATGTTCTAGAACTTGAGGCAAGCACAAGCAAACAAGCCGGCTTCCAGAGGCACCTCTTCTCCCATTCTCCACCTGACCCAACCAGGTTGCCAGTCTCTTGTTTTTCTTTCAGTGACATCAGTGTGAGTCTGTCGCCCCCTGCTGGACCAGGCCAGCTGCAGTCACAGATTCACAGATCTGTGCTGTGTGAGGCTCAGACAGGCAGTCTGGGCTGTGCATTTACTTAAAAGTTGAAAAAAAAATCCATCATTCTTTTCAGGATAACTTTTCCACTTACAGAGCAAAACAAGAGTAACTCAGATGAAGCAGGGTGAGGGAATGCTCTGAGAGCCCATTGGCCACCTGCAGCCTGTCTTCCATGCCAGTGAGGGAGGGACATGGGTTCCTGGGCCAGCCTGGACACTGGTGGACCCCTGTGGGACAGCAGGACTCAGAGGACGCAGCAGATGGGCCCGCTCCTGCTGCTCTGTGGCCTCACTGAGTCACTGACCGTCTGAGAACCTCATGCTGAGAGGGCTCAGGGCAGGGCAGTGACCTGCACACGCGCTCAGCTGGATAGCCAACCAACCGCCACTCCCAGGATGTGGCATGGACATGGACTTACAGGAGAGAAGGCCAGCTCCTTGGTGGACACTGCTTTCGGTCTTCTCACAGATGCGCTGCCCAGACCTGCACCTCAGTGTCTTCTACCCAGCCTCCTGCGGGGGGCTCACCCTGTGCACGGCCGCAGGAGGGGAGGAGCGTGGCTTCGGAGCCATGTGAGTGCTCCTGAGGCTGCTCTGCCTGCAGGCAGGAGCTCTGGCCCACAGCACAACTCTTGGGCACAGACATTCCAACATCCACATCTAGGTGTGGTTTTTGACCAAGTACTGCATGAGCATGGGGACAAGGCAGCGAGGTTCCAGTGTCCTTGTCACCCACACCAGGACCAACACGGGTGTGATGAAGATGGCTGGAGACCAAGTTTGGGGCCTGCAGCTCAGGGGAAGACCCTGTGGTGAGCAAGGTCACCAAGGAGCTCCCCAAAATACAGAGACACACAAAGCAAGCCACCTCGTGTGTCTTAGATACACAGTGGACAGCACAAGGCACAGTACAGGCGGTAGTCAGTGGCCATGTGGACCCAGGAAAAGCGTGAACAGGGAGGCAGGTACAAGGCGCACACATTACCTATATGAAAAACACAGAGGTGTGTCTTCTTGATTTAACAGTTAACTCATCAACTAGCTCATCAGCCAGTCTTGTTTTCAAAAATTCTGAAATACATTCAAAACTGGGCCCTCGAGGGTGGACACTGTGGTGCAAGGGGCTAACCCGCCACTTGAGAAACCTGCACCCTACACTGCATTGCTGTCTCCAGTCTCGGTCACTCTGCACTTCCAATCCAGCCCATGGAGGCAGCAGGTGGTGGCCCAGGTGACTCAGGCCCTTGCCATCCACATGGGAATCCTGCATGGAGGTCCTGACTCTGGCTGGTGCAGGTCTTTTGGGAGTGAACCAGTGGACGGGAGATCTGTCTCTCACTCACCCTACTTTTTAAGTAGATGAAAAACACTTTCAAAAAGTTAAAAAAAAAAAAAAGGTACAGCCTGGGACAGTCACATGCCATGCGGGAGTGCATGCTTCAGTGCTTTGGCTGCCTCATTCCAGCATCTGCTAATGCAGACCAGGGAGGCACTGGGTTATGCACCTAGAGGTCCCGGCCAGGCACATGGGGACCCAGGGCAGAGTTCTGGGATCCTGACTCGAGCCTGGCTCAGCCCCAACTGTTGGGACATTCAGGCAGTGAACCAGAGGGTAAGGAAGTGATGATTCTGTCTGCCTTTCAAATAAGTGCAACACAAAAAGTAATCAAGGCAGGGCCTTGCGCCCAGGGTTACCATTGGCTCTGCCATCTGCGGGTGGCTGGCGCCAGCACACAGGCGTGTAGTATGATCTATACCCCGCAGGACAGGTGAGGGGCCAGCACAGCCATGCAGCGTGATCAGTGCATGCAGTGCAAAGCAGCTTGGGCCACAGCTGCAAGAAATCTTCAAGTCGGGCCTGGCGTGATAGCCAAGTGACTGGGGTCCTTGTCTTACAAGTGCTGGGATCCCATATGGGCGCCAGTTCTAATCCCAGCTGCCCTGCTTCTCATCCAGCTCCCTGTTTGTGGCCTGGGAAAGCAGTTGAGGATGGCCCAAAGCCTTGGGAATCTGCACCTGCGTGGGAGACCTGAAAGAGCTCCTGGCTCATGGCTTTGGATTAACACAGCTCTAGCTGTTGAGGCTGCTTGGGGGGTGGGAGGGAGGTGAGTCATCAGATGGAAGATCTTTGTCTCTCTTTTTCTCTGTACATTTGACTTGCCAATGAAAGTAAGATAAATCTTTAAAAAAAGAACAGAATCTTCAAGTCTGGAAGAGCAAAGCAGCTCCAGCCTGCGAAGAAGTGAGTGGCAGGGAGGGGAAAGGACAGGCGGTCCTTCAGTCTGTCCACCGGGTTATGAATTCTTCCTGGTATCTGAGAAATTACTTCATTGAGAAAGAACAGCTGGCTCTGGAGTTGGGTGTTGGGGTTTGAACCCTGGGCCAGGCATCAGTTCTGTAGGGCCTCCATTTTCTCAGCCTGTACACGGCACCTGTACCCTCCTCTATGGCTCTAAGGGTTCAATGAGGTTTTTTTTTTTTTAAAGATTTATTTTTATTATTTTTTATTGGAAAGGCGGATATACACAGAGGAGAGACAGAGAGGAAGATCTTCCGTCCGATGATTCACTCCCCAAGTGAACGCAACGGGCCGATACTATGCCGATCTGAAGCCAGGAGCCTCTTCCAGGTCTCCCACGCGGGTGCAGGTTCCCAAAGCTTTGGGCCATCCTCGACTGCTTTCCCGGGCCACAGGCAGGGAGCTGGAAGGGAAGCGGGGCTGCTGGGATTAGAACCGGCGCCATATGGGATCCCGGGCGTGCAAGGCGAGGACCTTTAACCACTTGCGCCACCGTGCCGGGCCCTCAATGAGGTTTTAAATGCAATAGGTACTGATGGGCTCCATTAATGATAGCCATGACTGAGAACCCATGAGATTCTAGATTCCTATGGCAGAGACAAATATCCAAAATGCTGACATCAATCTTACTTCCCAAAGAGGCAACAGCCAGAGAACTCAATCCAGGCTGCCATGTCGGGCGGCAAGCTCAACTTCTCAAGCCATCGCCTGCTGGGCTGCACTGGGGCGGAGCCCAATGCTCCGACATGGGTCCAACAGCTGCCCTGAGAGCCTGGGACGCCTTGTCAGCTGTGGGGCCCTAGGTGGACACTCCTCCCAGGAAGTCACTGCAAGCTGACAACATAGCAGCAGTGAGTACATCCTAAAAGGTACTCCCCTCAGGCCATTTGGAGTCACTGGTGCAGAAATCTCCCACCTGCTAGTTCATGCCCCGTCAGTGCCCTCCCTGGAGGCTCCTCTGCTGGGACAGGACAAGGGGCATCACCCACTGATTACAAACTGCAGGGTCCCAACTTTTTAAAAAGTTTCAAGCAAGCCCTAACTGGCTGAAATCTAGTGTAAAGTATCTCCCCAAATCCTGGCCACCGTGTAAAGAATGCCTAGGCCCTTCCCAGCTGACCCTGTAGGTCAAGGCCTGTTCCTGGGGGCCTGCTCCTCCACTCTGCACCCCCCACTGGCGGGAGCAGATGTGAGCTCTCCCTGCAATTGCAGGTCTGAGGGAGGCAAGGCATGGCTGCTTCGCTCCATGTGTTTTAATGTGAGGATTCTCAACTCCATTAAACACATGCACAAAGACAGTGCTTGACCCTGACCTTGGCGAGTTACCATGGAATCCTATTACCACTGCACTGACAACCCACCACCACTCTGTGGGGTCCTCACGTGTACAGGCTGGAATCCCGGCTTGTGTGCTCGGAGTTCAAGGCTGCTGGGATGCCCATGCCCCTTCCCCAGCTTCCTGCAGGCCTGCACTTGCTCACCAGTGCTGCTCCCCCGACCCCCCAACCTGCCAGGGCCCAGCCCAGCCCCCTACTCCCCCACTGTACCCCCTCGGGGTGCCATGGCCCTGAGCACACACAGGCCTCTGATGTATTCGCACTGTGGTTACTGTTCTTGTCTCTCCTACTGCCCTGGGCTGCCCCACGCCCCAAGATGTCACCCTCTAACCCAGGGAAGACCAACAGAAGGGGGGCACTAACAATGCCCACTGAATTGTAAAAATGCCCCACCTGGAAACTGGCCAGGTGTCTTCGAAGTAGGTGACCCCAAACCATGTCTTTCTGCCACAAGGACCAAAGGGGGATGCCAATGTGTCAGGAAGCTGCTCTGGCATGCCACCTGTGTCCTGCAGTGTCCTGCAGCGGTCCCCTCACGCCACCTAGAGTCCTCCTCGCATATCAGCTGCCTTGAGGGCAGCAGCAGGCAGCCCTGGAGCCCCTGCATGGTTTTGGCCACCCCAGCCCCACAGGTGCCCCCAGCTAACCTCTGAGACCCTGGCCATTGTGGGTCTGCTTTCCCCAGAGCTGGATGTGGCCCACTTGGTTTATTTTTTGCTTTCTTTGGTTAAAGAGATACTGAGAGAGGATCTTACATCCACTGGTTCACCCCCAAGTGGCTGCAATGACCAATTCTGAGCCAGGACCTTCATCTGGGTCTGCCATGTGGGTGGCAGGGAACCAGTCAGGCCATCTTTTGACGCTTTCCCCAGGCCATTAGTAAGTAGCTGGATTGGAAGTAGAGTAGCTGGGGCACAAAACAGTGCACATATGGGACACCTGGGTTGGAGGCAGCAGCTCTACCTGCACACCCCAACACCGGTGGCTCCTGTTTTTTTTAAATTGTCACAACAAGGGACTCCCTCAGAGTGTCTGTGCTGGGGTAAACGCAGAGTTCATTGGAAGCAATGGAAGTCGCGTGGGTGAACACGGGGATACAAGCCCAGGGAAATGCTGGGGCCACACTGGAAGAAGGCAGTGGTTTGTGAAGCAAAGTCTGTTCCTGAGGCATCCTAATGACTCCAACCACTTTAGAAGGAAACATCTGCTGGCGAACGTGAGATGCTCTCTGCCAGTCAGGGGCAGGCGGCGGGGCGAGCGCCATCAGGAAGCATTCGTCCTGGCCACCCGCATGCAGAAGGCTGGACACCTGACCCAGAGAAGTGACCGGGCGGCCAGCGTGCCTGCCTTGCCACAGTGAGTCCAGTGCACTCTGCTTACTAGCACTCTCAACGTGCAGAGAGCTTCCTTCCCCTAACTTCCAGCAGGATGTGGCTGCCACGCCACCCAGAGCAAGGGCCAGCATGGCACAGAATGAGAAAAACTTCTCCAACGAACTAGTCCAAGGGGTCAGTGCTATGGCGTATGGACAGCGCTGTCATTTGCAATGGCAGCACCCCAGGTGGGCACTGGGTCCTGTCCTGGTTGCTCCACTTCCCATCCAGCTCCCTGCTGACACACATGGGAAAAGCAAAGGAGGACGGTCCGAGTGCACGGGTCCCCACCCCACGTGGCTGGTGGCTGGTTGCTGGGGTCATTTGGAGACTGAATCGGCAGAGGGGAAGACCACTCTCTAACTCTACCTTTCACATAAATGTGAATCTTCATTACGTTAAAAAAAAAAAAGGGCTAATCATTTTCCATCCAGGCCCCTTGGCAGGTGCCACCCTCACTCCACATGGAAACACACTGAGGATTCCGCAGACAGCAAGAGAGCCCGGACAGCCCGGCGCCACGCTACCTTCAGGGTCTTCACGGCCACCGTCAGGCTGTACTTCTTCCACACGCCCTCATACACCTCGCCGTACTGGCCCCCGCCCAGCCGGTGCCGCATGGCGATGTCTGTGCGCTCCATCTCCCACTTGTCGTAGCTGGGGGACACGCCGTAGATGGTGGGCTTGTTGCGCTTGGGGGCCGGGTAGTGCAGGGTGGTGATGAGGCCGTCGGCCACGGTGCAGTGGTGATGGACCAGCTCGGCCAGGGTGTTGAAGCGGCTCTCCGAGGAGACATAGAGCTGAGGGGAGACGGCAGACCTTCAGTGCACACAGCAGACGCGTTCTCAAGAACCCAAACAAACCAATTCGACGAACTAGACCAGAAAACATCAGCAAGTTGGCTCGGCTCAGGTCTCGGTGTGAAGAAAACCCCGCCTGCTGTCCTGTTGCCACAGGAGAGCAGAAGCAGCCGCTAAGAGGTGCCGGGCCGCGATGCCAGCTGCCCGAACTCCCACTGAGCCCCATGGGCTCCGGTTTTGCTTATCATTCTGAGACCACGGTCACGGGCTGTGTGGTCTTCTCCAACCACCCGATCTCCAGCCACCACCCACCTCACCTCCTGCCTTATTTCTCGGCGTGTATTTGACATTAGCTGCTCATCTCCTGCTTACCACCTTGTGCCAGTTCCCGTGCCCCGGTAAGCTTGGTAAGAGCAGAGCCCTGGGCTGTCACCTTAGTCCTGTGCTACCCGCATCAAGAACAGGAGACGAACACATACAGGTACCCAACAGATAGCTGCTGATTAATATCAGCGAGCTAAAGTGTTTGCTGACTGGAAATGAAGAGTTATATGGCCAATTCGTAATTACAACAGACCAGAAAATGAAAATCAGTCAAAAAACCTTAATTTGCATCCCTAATTTCTCACACCCTGGGTCACTGAGAGAGGGGCTGGTGCTGTTGCACAATTAAACAGCGCCTGTGTGGGTGCTGGTGTGAGTCCCGGCGGCTCCACCTCCCCGGCTCCCTGTGGATGCACCGGGGCAGCAGCAGTGGTTGGCCCAAGCGCTAGGACCCAGGCCCCTCAGGACTGAGTTCTGGCTTCAGCTTGGCTTAGCCCTGGCTATCGTGCACATTTGGGGAAGGGGACCAATGGATGAACGTGAATCACTAAGTCACTGTGCTGGGCCCAAATAAGTACGTCTTTAAGAAAGTAGAAAGGGAGCATTGCATGTGCCGGCATCCCATACGGGCGCTTGTCTGTCCCGGCAGCCTCACTTCCCATCCAGCTCCCTGCTTGTGGCCTGGCCAAAGTCAAGGACGGCCTAAGGCTTTGGGATCCTGCACCCATGTGGAAGACCAGGAAGAGGCTCGAAGTTCCTGGCTCCGGATCAGCTCAGCTCCAGCTGTTGTGGCTACTTAGGGAGTGAATCAGCAGACGGAAGATCTTCCTCTCTGTCTCTCCTTCTCTCTGTATATCTGACTTTCAAAAAAAAGTGGAAAGGCAAATGGAGGCCCAGATGTGCAAATCCCCACAGATTGCCCATGTGCCATGCCTCCAAGGAGCGGACACGAGTGTTTCCAGTGTGCGGGAGGCAAGGGATCTCAGATGCAGCCTTGGAGTGGCTCTGCATGAGGCCCGCAGGGCAGGAGCAGGCAATGTGGGTGGCGACGACCACCTTTCTTCTCGCCTTGCTTGTTCTGCGACGTGGTAAAGCAATGCTTCCTTTTCCTAAACAACTGCACATGACTGTCCACACAGAACATCTGGGCTCCAGGCACGCAACTGGCCTGCTGCTTGCTGAGAGCAGCCTACCAGGGCAGAGATGGTGGGGAGGGGGCAGGGAGAGGGGCTCAAACACAGCGAGGCTTTCAGTCACCTGCCCCAAGCACAAAGATCCAGGGACGAAGCACGTGGACAGCAGGACGCTGGGATGAGATGGAGGACGGGCCACTGCTGCTGCCACTGGGAAATCTCCTGGTCTAAGACAACAAGCATGAGGTGCCCGGCAGGGCTGAGGCCCCTGGGGCTGGCGACTCAGGGACCGCCTTCTCCAAGTGAGGAACAGCAGGTAACCGACAGCCCAGAGGAGGAGTAATGGAGCCCGTGAGCCCACCCCCCGACAACCTTCCAGGCCTCAGGCACAAGCCCTCTCTGCCTGCTGCCCCTCCTCCTCCCCCCTCTCCAGCCCACCCATCAGCCTAGCCCATGGGAACACACATGTACTAGGCGTGTCCTGTGAGCACAGGGCACACTACCCAGGGGTCTGAGGAATCGGGGATGTCCGCAGTGTGTCCAGGACTTGAGGTGAGGATGCCAGGAAGTGGACCCAAGACTGACTTAGGAAAGCAGTGGGCAGGAACCCAGCTGCTGCCCCACGGACCACTGGTGAGGCAGCAGCGAGTGGAAGAGCAACGATGTGACCTGGAGGCACCAGGGCTCCTGAGATGTCAAGACTACCAGGAATTTCAGTGTGGACCAGGCCAGCTCACAAGGCCTGCAGCCCAGGACCCTAGGCTAATGGAGCAGCCACGGGCAGAGGAGCACCCAGGAGGCAGAGATGACAGGGGATGCTCTAAATTCAGTCCTTTTCTAGGTAAGTTAATTTGAAAGGAAGACTTAAACTTACTCACCCCCAGGCTGCTCTTCTATTTAAAAAAAAAAAATCAATTTTTATTGGAAAGGCAGATTTACAGTGAGAAGGAAAGACAGAAAAACCTCTCATTCACTGGTTTGCTCCCCAAATGCCTGCAATGGCTGGAGCTGAACTGATCTGAAGCAGGAGCCAGGAGCTTCTTCTGGATCTCCCACATGGGTATAGGGGTACACAGACTTGCCTGTCCTCGACTGCTTTCCCAGGCCACAAGCAGGGAGTTGGATGGGAAGTGGGGCAGCTGGAATAAGAACCAGTGCCCACTGGGATGCCAGTGCCTGCAAGCAGAGGACTAGCAAGCTGAGCCACTGTGCTGGCACTGTCCCCTGCAGCCTGTACTTCTGACCAGCTCACTGCAATAAAAGATTGCAGCAAAGTTCTACTTTATGACAGATGCAAGATCTCTGTTTCTTCCTGTGTCCTCTCTCTGCCTTTCAAATAAATGAGTAACCAAACATTAAACAACAAGAAAAAACCTCTACAGGGCCCGGCACGATAGCATAGTGGTTAAGGTCCTTGCCTTGCACGCACTGGGGTCCCATGTGGGCACCGGTTCTTTTTTTGAAGATTATACAGAGAGGAAGATCTTTCGTCCAATGATTCATTCCCCAAGTGAGCGCAACGGCCAGTGCTGCACTGATCAGAAGCCGGTTCTAATCCTGGCAGCCTTGCTTCCCATCCAGCTCCCTGCTTGTGGCCTGGGAAAGCAGTTGAGGACGGCCCAAAGCCTTGGGACCTGCACCTGCATGGGAGACCCGGAAGAGCTCCTGGCTCCTGACTTCAGATCGGCTCAGCTCCAGCCGTTGCAGCTGCTTGGGGAGTGAACCACTGGATGGAAGATCTTCCTCTTTGTCTCTCCTCCTCTCTGTATAACTGCCTTTCCAATAAAAATAAATAAATCTTTAAAAAAAAAAACCCGCAAAACCTAAAAACCCCTCTACTATGTGAGAAGTATTTCTAATACTGAGTGCCAATGTCCTACACAGCACTGTAACGGCCTGCTCTGACCCTGCTCACTTGCTGCAGGGACTGGTCCTACCCACCACAGCCCCTCAAGGGAGGTGGGGTGGAACACTGCCTGATGCCCCGTGGGTGGGGCAGGCGTGCCAAGGAGTAGGCAGAGCTGCCCCACCACGGGAGCTCCCTGCGTGCGCTACCAGAATGAGAGGCCTCACCTGGCCTTCCAGGGCAGCTGGACAGGTGTGGCTGCCGCTGCGGACTCTTACACCTTGAGTCTGGTACCCATACGCAGGCATCACTTCCCTTCTCCACAACACTGCGGGCAGCCCCAGCTACTGAGATCTTGCCTGCCTGCATCTGTTCCAAGACCGTGCACTAGATGACTCGGGAGAAGCAGCCATTATCCTGCTCAGCACAAACCTGGCGGGATGTTGGGGGCAGTGTGACCTACCTTGTGGGAAAGTGAGTGTCAGCTCCCGACACCCGCCTTCCCCAGGGGGCAAGCCTGCTGCTCTGATTCACTCGAAGGGTCCCCCTGGGGTCTGAGGCTTGCAAGGGCCTGGAGTCCTGGCGTGCGTCCTACAGGACACAAGTACTCAGCACTTCATTGGGGGTGAGAAAAACAGCTAGGAACAAGCGAGGAGGGCCGTGTCCAATGACCCTCAGCAAGAGGCTACGCTGCGTCCCATCAACCACACTGCTGCCTCAGCGACACAGTGATGGGACTCAGCCAGCAGATTCATGTGGAAACAGGAAAACAGCCAGGACGCCCATGCAGCGCAAGTGTGGAGACAGCCCGGAGAGTCGGGGGCAGCCTGACCTGGTGCCAACACAGCAGAAAGCTAGAGTGGCGACAAGGCTGGCCCCGGCAGACGGGCCCTGGCAGACGGGCCGCCTGACCAACAGAAGAGACCGGGCAATGTCTCAGACACACGCGGAAGTGGAGTTTCCTTTCCCTCACTTTCACTTTCCTACCCAGCCTCGCCTCACCTTTCCATCTTTAACACTGATTGAGTTAAAGGTCAGGAGTTAGAGAGAGGAGAGACCAAGAGAACAAAACAGAGGAGAGAGAGAAATTTCCATCTACTGATTCTCTCCCCAAATGGCCACACATCCAGAGCTGAAGGCAGGAGCTTCTTTGGGGGTCTCCCATGTGGGTGGCAGGGTTCAAGAACTTGGGCCATCCTCTGTTGCTTTTCCAGGCCAAGCAGCAGGGATCTGTATTAAAAGAGAGTAGAGGTTCTGGTGCGATAGCATAGCAGCTAAAGTCCTTGCCTTGAATGCGCTGGGATCCCATAGGGGTGCCAGTTCATCCCGGCAGCTCCACTTCCCATCCAGCTCCCTGCCCGTGGCCTGGGAAAGCAGTGGAGGACAGCCCAAAGCCTTGGGACCCTGTTCCCGTGTGGGAGACCTGGAAGAAGTTCCTGGATCCTGGCTTCAGATCAGCTCAGCACTGGCCACTGCGGTCACTTAGGGAGTGAATCATCAGACGGAAGATCTTCCTCTCTGTCTCTCCTCCTCTCTGTATATCTGCCTTTCCAGTAAAAATAAATCTTAAAAAAAAATAAAGAGTTGAACCAGTGTCCAAATGAGACAGAGGCGCTGCAGGCACGGGCGCTGATGTAGCTCTCGCTAAGCAAGGGCACAGCACATGGAGAACAAAGCCGTTTCTCCAGAGTGACACACGTTCCCGCAGGTCTGAACAGCTGCCCCGGCGCTCTGCATGGCTAGCAAGGCGCTACCGAAGGCAGAGAACACACACTTCCCTGCGCGGTTTGTGAGACGAAAAATGTGGACAATTTCTGCATAGACACTATTTACACCCATCCCAAGTCTTATTTATTCAAGAGGGAGAGAGACAAAATGAGCGAGAACACGAGAGCGAGGGCTTCCATCAGCAGGTTCACTCCCCCAGTCACCCACGAGGGTCACAGTCAGGCTGCCTCAAGCCGGGAACCAGGCACTCAATCCATGTCTCCCCTGTGGGCAGCAGGGGCTCAAGCCCGTGCCCAGCACTGCTGCCTCCTGTGCTTGCGCGTTAGGCAAGGACCAACACCGGAACAGAGCCCAGACGCTCTGACATGGGACAGGGTGTCTTTCAGGTGCAAAGCTCACCAACCAACCCCTAAGCTGATTTGACCCATCAATAAAATATAATCTTCATCAGTTCTGGCAGTTTATTTTGCATATAGTTACGCTGTACACAAAGACAAATATGTAATGCATTGTCGAACTGCATGAGATAGTCATTACTGGTTCTTTGAACTATTTAACAAAATGACAACCAGTTCTTAAAAACAATCAAGTGGGATGGAATGGACACAGAATGTCAGACTGCATTACACATAGTTAGGGTCAGGAAGGTTTTATGAGCCTAGTTACTGCTGTGAGCCAGGTGGGGAGCTGAACAAGCCCACACTGAAAAATGATTTTCACCTCGTGAGGTCAGCCACCAGGCTGCTCACATCACTGCTGCGTTCCAGGGGCCATCAGCCAGGACGGGGCGGCTCCAGGCGTCTTGCCAGCGTAGAAGCCCGACAATGCACTCTTGGGAGGGAAAAGCCCAGAAAGGCAGGCAGTGCAGGCTGTGCACCAGTGATGTGTCTTTAAACACAAACGCAGGGCCCAGCATGATGGCTCAATGGCTAAATTCTCACCTTCCAAGAGCCGGGATCCCATATGGGCATCAGTTCATGTCCTGGCTGCTCCACTTCCCATCCAGCTCCCTGCCTGTGGCCTGGGAAAGCAGTGGAGGATGGGCCAAGGCCTTGGGACCCTGCACCCATGAGGAGACCCAGAAGCATCAGCTCAGCTCTGGCCATCGCGGCCACTTGGGGAGTGAACCAGCAGATGGAAGATGTTTCTGTCTCTCCTTCTCTTTGTAAATCTACCTTTCCAATAAAAATAAAATAAAATAAAAACCTTAGGAAGGATGAAAGGCAGGCATGCAGGCATAGCCACCAGGTCACTCTACAAGAGGCTCCAAAGACGGGGCAGGGAGACAATGAGCACACATGAACACCATGATTCATTTGGTCCTGTCACTTTTTTAAAACCAGACTCGGGCAGCACCTGCCTAGAGGACTGAGGTGAAGTTTCCACGGGACGACAGCTGCCAGGTGCCCTGCGAACAGCAGAAGCCCAGCAAATGTTAACCCCTCCCTTCCCTTCCTGGACCAACATACGCCCACTCCTCCATCACACTGGAATCTGAAGCTTACTGCGTGGATGCACACATGAGTGTATCCATGAAGGCGGCCACACGCCAGATGTATTTGGACAAATGCTGTTAAAGTAGTCTTTCACTCTGAAAATTCTTAACGCTTACATTTTTTCTCAGGGACAATGAATGATTATTATTGTAAGAGATTTTTTTTAAAAAGAGTTTCAATGTAAGGAGTAGGTCTAAATGCCATCAGGTCATCATCCTACTTTAACAAAGTGCCGAGGACAGACTCTGGCAGGAAAGTAGGACCACTGCGGGCCAGGAGCCCGTTACCACTTCGAGTTGTCTCCACAGAAGAGCCTTCCAGAAGGCAGTGGAATGATTTCTGCTGTCACCCGGAAGGATTCGTGAACGCCTTGACCCAGCCAACTGCTAAGACCTCAGCCAGCCCCAGCAGGGCCCCTCCCTACCTTGCCATCGGATGCGGTGTTGATGCGGTAGTGGTAGACCCTCCCTTCATATCGCAGTGAGATGGACCTCTGGCCAGGACTGCTCTCGCTCTCCCGCACCAGGAAGCTGCCGTTGATGCCGCTGCTCAGCAGGTACTCGGCAGCGTTGCGTGACACGGGCCCGTGGTACCAGGAGTGCTTCTCCAGGCTGTTGACTGGTGTGATGTAGTTGCTCGGGACCCATCCCTGGCCATTTTTGGTTTGCGCTTCACACCATTCCCCATTGTGGTTGTAGCCCAAGACCCGAAGCTTTTCACCTTAGAAGAAAAGATCCAAATCAGACACCACCACCTCCAAGTCTTGCATGAATACTAAAAATATGTCTTTGTTTTATTGGAAAAGTCATTGTAGCAGCACTTTTAGAACATGTGCTTCTCCGTGCGACTTGCAAGCCCCCATTCATGTGGAATGCATCGTACACTTACTCAAGTGCTCTGTTCGTGTTCTAGAACACTGGGCGTAAAAGCAGCACTCCGCAGAGGAGAGAAGTGCGTTCAGTATTTTGCCCAGGTGTCCTCAGTGTAACAAACAAGGGCATTCTGTTTCTGCCGTACAGAGCACTGCTCTGACAAGGGACCCCAGAAACAGGCTGCTACCCCCGACTCCCACCTCCCGCGCTCCCAGCTGCCCCGAGCCGGGGTACCTTTAGTTATGCTTAGGGTGTTGTCCCCACTGGCCACGAAATCATACAGCGCAACAAACAGATTGGGGTCATTTTCACTGGGCCCAGCAAGAAGGTTTTCCTTGGAGTTCCAACGAGCAGCTTCGCTCAGACCTGGGGGCTCGAAGTCAGATGCCACTGGCCTCTGAAGGGCTTCTGGAAGAGAAAAAAAAAGGAAAACCAGGAAGAACGTGAGTTTTATTCTCAGGAGAAAACAAACAAAACAAAAAAAACCTGCTGTTTTCCACACTATACTTCCATAAATTCACTTCATATTTTAATGTGCACCCACTATGAATTGACAAGAAAGGCACCCTTGTCCAAATTTTGTGAATACTAGGAATTTTTCATTCCAAGGTGAATTTTTTCAGCTTTTTACAATAATTAACATGGATGTCATCAGAGATGGAAGCATGTCCGCCCTCAGATGTCTTCACTGTTGCACAGGATGAAAAGTTTCTTGCCTTGAAACATTTTAAAATATACCCAGGTCTGGGCCCGGCGCGGTGGCGCAAGTGGTTAAAGGTCCTCGCCTTGCACGCCCGGGATCCCATATGGGCGCCGGTTCTAATCCCGGCAGCCCCGCTTCCCTTCCAGCTCCCTGCCTGTGGCCCGGGAAAGCAGTCGAGGACAGCCCAAAGCTTTGGGAACCTGCACCCGCGTGGGAGACCCGGAAGAGGCTCCTGGTTTCGGATCGGCATAGTATCGGCCCGTTGCGCTCACTTGGGGAGTGAATCATCGGACGGAAGATCTTCCTCTCTGTCTCTCCTCCTCTCTGTATATCCGCCTTTCCAATGAAAAAATAATAAAAAATAAATCTTTAAAAAAAAAAAATATATATACCCAGGTCGATGCATGCGCATTTTTAGAAATTAAGTAGTGCAGAAGGGCTTAAAAGAAACATCTGCTGTCCCAGTTTTTTTCCTACTCCAGAGACAAGAGCTGTTTTCAAAAGCTTAGCAGTGGTTTCTTTTAAAAGGATTTTTATTTATTTGAGAGAGAAAGAGGACGAACACGGGCTCCCACGCACTGGTCCGCTGCGGTTCATGCCCTGGAGATCCAGAGCGGCTGAGCAGGGACAGGCCACAGCCGAGGTGAGAAGGAACACGGCGACTTGACCTGCCTCTCACGGTACGCACTAGCAGCAAGCGGGAGCCAGGAGCCAGAGCTGAGCACTGAGCCCAGCACCTTGACGTGGGACACGGTGTCCTAACTGCCAGGATGAGCACGTGCCCCAGTGCTGTCTGGATTGCCCACTCTGCTGCACCGCTCACGTGCCTCTGCTGTCCCTCCCAAGACAACACCAGCACACCCACCCTGCCTCCCAGACTCACTCTCAGATCTGCCACATCCACATTCTAATTGTGAAGATTAGTGAGAGTTCCTTCAATTCTGCAATAATGAAGTCTTAGGTTTTGTCTTTTTTTTTTTTAAGATTTATTTATTTTTATTACAAAGTCAGATATATATACAGAGAGGAGGAGAGATAGAGAGGAAGAGCTTCCATCCGATGATTCACTCCCCAAGTGAGCGCAACGGCCAGTGCTGTGCCGATCCGGAGCCAGGAACTTCCTCCAGGTCTCCCATGTGGGTGTAGGACCCCAAAGTTTTGGGCTGTCCTCCACTGCTTTCCCAGGCCACAAGTAGGGAGCTGGATGGGAAGTGGAGCTGCCAGGATTAGAACCGGTGCCCATATGGGATCCCGGCACGTTCAAGGTGAGGACTTTAGCTGCTAGGCCACGTCGCCGGGCCCAGGTTTTGTCTTTAAATCCAAAAAAGTTGGAAGCCAGTCGGCAGCTCACTGCAGGATGCTTCTCACTACAGGGTTCACTCGGAGCTTCCTGTCTCCCTGTCTTTCTGCAGCTGTGACCTTCCCAGACTCTCCAGGATAACGTCCAGAGGCAGAGGCTTCTTCCCAAGCAACCTCACAGTTAGCATGTGCAGTACTTACCCAGGGAAGCTGCATTCACCAACCACACAGACAAGAAAAGAGGGGCGCAGGGGGAACAGCTGGAAGACTCCAACCTGAAAACCACAATGAAAGCAAACCATGTCTGGGGACTGGTGTTTGGTAGCCCAGACCGGAATGCTCCAACCCAGCTTCCTGCTAACGTGCCTAACAAGGAATGGGAGATGCTGAGTACTTGTCACCTGCCATCCGCGTGGGAGGCCCTGCTCGGTCATTGTGGCTGTCCGGGGAGTGAACCAAGGATGGAAGATCTCTGTCTCTACTTTGTCTCTCTCACTGTAACTCTGCCTTTCAAATAAAATAAATCTAAAGTCTCTAAATACTTTTTAATTTTATTTGAAAAGCACAATTAGGGCCCAGCGCAGTGGCCTAGCAGCTAAATTTTTGGCCTTGAACGTGCCGGGATCCTATGTGGGCACCAGTTCTAATCCCGGCAGCCCTGCTTCCCATCCAGCTCCCCCCTGCTTGTGGCCTGGGAAAGCAGTCAAGGACAGCCCAAAGACTTGGGATCCTGAACCCGCGTGGGAGACCTGGAAGAAGTTCCTGGCTCCTGGCTTCCGATCGGCTCAAGGAGTGAATCATCAAATGGAAGATCTTTCTCTCTTTCCTCCTCTCTATATATCTGACTTGCAATAAAAATAAATAAATGTTAAAAAAAAAAAAAAAAAGAAAGCAAAGCATAACTATAGAGGCGGGGCAGCAAGAGGGACAGAGAGATGATGAGAGGACAGATCTTCCATCTGCTGGCTTACTGCCCAGATGGTCCTGCTGGCAGGGCTGGCCAGGCTAAAGCCAGGAGGCCAGAACTCCGTCCAGGTCTTCCAAGTGGGTACAGGGGCCCAACACTTGGGCCATTTCTGCTGCTTTCTCGGGCCCATTAGTAGGGAGCTCAACTGGACCCCCAAAGGTCAAAGGCAGCAGCTTAATACACTGTGCCAATACCAGTCCCCACAATTTCTTTTAAGTGATTTATTAATTTGAAAAGCAGATTAACAGAGAAAGAGAGAGAGAATCTTCCATTCATTAGCTCATTCCCCATCAGGTTCCAGCAGTGTGGTTTGGATAAGGCTGAAGCTAGGAACTCTGTTTAGGTTTCCCAGGTGTGAACTACCTGCCACTGCCTCCCAGGTGCATTGGAAAGGAACTGGATCAGAAGTGAGCAGTCAGGGCTCTGGATTGGCCTCTGACGTGGGACCCACTGAAGATGCTAGTTTAATCCCCTGTGCCATAGCACCAACTGGCCCTTGAGACTTACATAATCGATCAGTTGCCACGCAAAAGTGTGCTGGGTGGGGCAAAGGTATCTGGGGACTTCCCTTTGGGTCTCAGCCGCCCCGCTCTGAGTACACAATCTGGCAACACCAGGCGCACACAGGAAATTAAACACAAGCCATGAATACAGAAAAGCTTTTCTTTTCAAATGCCCTTTGACCTCTTCTATCAAACATCCTCCAGCATCTGGATCCGATCAAAGTTACATAATCAGGGAAGTGGCCTGGAAAACACCTGGCTCTACAGTGCCCGTCAGTCTGCAGTGCCCGTGGAAGCGGGGGCTGTCCCCAGTGCGTAGGCACAGGCCTGGGATCTGACGCAAGGGACGGGCCTTTATTCGGGAAGGAGGAAGGGGCCTCCCGCTGCTTTTTGATTCAACAGGACACGGGGCCATCCGAGGCAGTCTCTGGATTTTCCTCCCCAGTTCTTGCTCTGTTGCATAAATTAATGGCCAAAGCCCAAAGGGAAGTATTGCTCATGCAAGGCCTCTGGATTGAGACCCAGCCGCACAGCCACGTCCAACAGCGCCAAAACCGTCCAGTGAATTCCCACTCAGGCTCATGTCCAGGCTGACTCACGGCGCAGCGATGCCAAGGGACTTGCTTCATTTCAGAGCTGCGCTCCTCAGCCTTGCAAGCCGTCACAGCTCACGGAGCCTGGGTTGTGGGGGGCATGACAAGCTGCCTTGCTCGGGGACCCCTCACCCTGCCGCACAGACCTGTGGGCTCCCTTCAGACTGAACGCCCCACACAGCTCCTGCCTGCTAAGTTGCAGGAACAGATTTTCATCAGCTATCATGCTCATTTTTTTTCCCAGCATCCTTTCGGAACCATATTTTCAATACATTCATGATTTCGATCTTCGGCAGTGCCTCGCTCACGTCCCCTTTGCAGGTACTTTGTATTTTGCCATCAGGCTAACACACACAGTCAGATGCAGGCAAAGTACATAGCCAGTCTGAATACTGTTCACTGAAAAATGCCCCCGAAAAGCTCTGGCCCCAACTATGGGAGTATCAAATTGCTTAAAAATCTGATAAGCACCCTGCCACAGAACTCACTGGACCTGTCTGTGATTAACTTGTTTGGATAGTATTCTAGGAAAGCAGTTTGAGTCTTCAAAGGACAATTTAAAAATTGTTTTATAGAGAAAACTCACTTCTCAAAGCTGAGTCACTCATCAAAAATGTTGAGGCAGGATCCTCTGATGGCTGCTGACATGGTCTAGATGTCCAGGGTCTGCCACACCGCGCTCAGATGGCAAGGAAGGGCGGAGGCGCCACCTGAGTGCCACCACCGTGCCAGTGCCCAGAGGGGTGGGAGGACCTGGCCAGCAGGAACCTCCGGCAGGCACCTGAGCCTGCGCCAGAGTGCACGGTGACCAACCAGGCACCACTCACTGTGGTGTGCACTGTGGGCCTTTCTGTTAAGTGTTCAGACATCTCAGCATGGGGGAGGGGTGAGAGCAGGGGTCATCAGTCGGGACAGACACCCCTGCCTTCGCCCACCCTTGGTTATTCAAGCCTTCGCCACCTGATGCTCACTTCCTGGAGGGCTCCTTCCCCCGCCCTCCCATCCACAGAATCTGCCATTTACACATCTCCAAAGCAGATGCCTCTCCAAGAGGAAGGGCTGCGGGTCTTATTTCGCCCTCCGTTCCAACGGATGAGGTCACGCTGGGATGGCTCTCCAGCTTTCTAACGGTTCCACACAGATTATTAGAAGAGGAGCTTGGAGGGAAAGCATTATTTCCCACAACTTGAGCTTCATGGAAGTCATTTTTATCTCCATTCTGCACGGTCCTTTCTTTTGTCAGTTATATCTTTAGCTACAGCAACTACAAGTATTTAAATTTTAAAAGTTTACATCAACACAGACTGCATTAGCTGGATGGACGCCAGGGAACATGACACTGA